GATGAGGTTGAAGATGCCTTTTTCTCCCATCGGCGTGGAGAGAAAATAGATCCAGCTTGACTTATCCCATAGCACGGAAATGAACGAAAGGTATTTGTCACCGTTCAAATGTCGGTCTTCCTTCATTCGCCTGATTGGGCCATTTTGGCGCCCTTTCGTTTCATGAAGTCGATGGTGCAATGCTGATCTCTTCTTCTATGTCATAAGTCAGGAGAGTCTCATTTTTTGGAGGCAGAGTCAACAGCCGTCTGGCAAGAGTAGCGTGTGGTCTCCTGTTCCCTTCCAACAGATTGTTATGCGTTTATCAACATATGAAGGATGCGGGGCCAGTGACCTCGAGCAGCGCTTCAACTCAACACCTATCGGTTTAGAGTTCGGCACTCTACCGACTGAGCAGTGTGTGATAAATTTTTTACTTAACGGAATTCGTGAATCAGGCAAAGATTTCCCTCGAGCTGGATCGACACTGCACCTCCGGAGTTCGAAGTATACTTTATAGACAGTTGTGTCAAAACATCGAAAATTTTATGACGTACAATATTAACTGCCTTTAAAACACGGCCACTGTGGATCTTCTTCCAGATTTAATGGCACTATCATATTTGAAAAGATTGTGCATAAATGAAAATTTTTTTGTCCTCGATTAAAAAGCCACCTTGACATCGCGAGAATATCTTCTTATCCATGTCCATATTAGCCTTAGGGCATCGCTGACTTCATCAAAGGATCAAAACCTGCTCCTGGCATGGTCTCTGAGTGATGACAGCAAATCACACATGAAAGCATGTCCTAATTCACGTTTGATTGTCGGCCTAATTTGCGGTGTTGCATAAAGCAAAGTGTGAAACGTATAAACTACTGAGACGACGTTGAATCAAATGAATGGTCTATGAAAATTCGTGACACTCACTGCGCACTTTCCAACGAAATACACGAGCAAAAAGGAGGATATCGGTTTCTCATCATGAGCGAATTTTCCCTGGAAGATATGGTACCAAAAACATTTGCACGGATCGACAGGACGACCATGGTAAAGCTGAAAGGGCGGTTTCAACCAATGAATACATCTTAGCATTATTCCCATGGCGATGATAAAATATGCGCCACGAATTACCTTACCTTTTAAGTATGTAGAAATGTGTATCAAGAATTCTGCATGATCATTAAGATGTCAACACTCCTCTGTCAGCTTTCGAGAGGTAAATGCACTTTGGAAGTTTGAGGTCTTGTTTTCTCTTCGAATATTATAAAGACAGCGGTACTTTCGAGAAGACAATAAACTGAACGTTCTAGCTTTCATTTATAAGAAGTTTAAAGAGTCTGCAGAATTATGAATTTCAAACCATATGTCATGTGATGATAAACTTAGTCTTGCTGTCACCTGCTATTGACACTCCATTACAAGGAAATCAATTTTTCTTTCTGAGCATCTAATTAGAATGGACTTCTGTTTGGACTGCTTTATCTTAAGAAGATTCCTTCACCTTGCTGTTGAGCCTCCGCCATAGGAAACTCATGGTCTGCATCGCGACAGTTGCTCAAACGAAGTCTAACTCGATTTATTTTAAATCGTTGCCAATGAGATCCTCTCGACCTAAATCTGGCAATTCGTTGTTACCGCAGGGAAGAAGGTTGCATACCCATCATTTTATTGAAAATTTCAACAACAACGTTGTTCATCGTCATCTCATTAATATAGTGCTTTTGCTTTGAGCGTTGTTTACGGCTCTTTGTTTATAAATCGTCCCCCCCCATGCTGATTTTGTCAAGTATCAAGTGAAGATAAACGAAGTGCAACCGCAAAGTGTGCGCATCCGACATTACCATGAACCTGGTGCGTTTTTCTATGACCATATCAGAATACCATGTGACACTTATTTTTCGCAAGTCAACACTTTTCCACTCGCTTTTCTGTCGGTGGCAATAAGGCACGATGAGGTGGTTCCTTGCTGCATAAAAAAACATTTATAATTTAAATTTGCGCTCCCCTTTGACTCTTGTTCAGATCCAAAGAATTCGAAACCAAACCGCAATCCACTACTCCAATTCTATAACCATTACGAGGAAAACTTCAGGTTTCGAAAATTTTATGAGCGAGTTCTTTCCACGGCGATGGATCGCGATGAATTTCTGAGGAAACTCAAACCATCGGATACGCCTGAAATCGTAAAGCGCATTTTCTTTTAAACCATTAAATTTTTTATGAAACTAAATTTAAGTTTGCGCCTCTGGTTGACTTTCAGTCAGCTGTAAGGTGAGTCAAGCCGAATTATAGAGGGGAGGGACATTCATCGGACAGCAAGGTGGATTTTTTCCGACGCTCCGCCATGATCGCACCTAAACGTCATGTTTTTTCCCGATTTTTCGCTGGTCAAGATCGCTACCCGTTTTTTCGGCTGGTTTCAATGATGCACATCGGAGGGAATTCCTTGCTCAAGGGAATTAGCAACTGATAAATGAAACTATACGCCGCTCGTGGCACTTCAACCCGACATCTTCGAACTGTAATGCCTAAGTTCCTTTGCGTTTCTGCCCCCCCCC